ATAAACTAACTAGATTTTAATTTTTTTAAATTAAAAGTAAAATATGTATTGATTCTTAAGAATGACGATTTTTAAATGTACTTAATTAAAAGATTATTTCTATTAAAGCTTTTTTGTACAGACTGCCTACTTAATTTAATTTAAAAAGCAACAACATTGTAATTAAAATAATAGTTTGATCATTCCAGAAAAAAATTATTGATCCTTCCATAGCGTTTCGGTTATTATTATGAATGATACTGTTGTTCATTATCTTACTATATATCCTTTTAGCATTATTATCAACAAAGGGCTCGAAAAAGCGAATGCAAACAGCTGGATTATAAAAGAAACATATTATTTTTTTCGGTATTACAGAGAGAAATTATAACATGTTATATTTCTTAGTCTTGTGTGAGGATTAATCTGTATCACATGTGTAGAACGATAATAATTTATATCGAATAATGGAATATAGTAATATATTTCATAATATGTTTATTTATTAACTGCACCCCAGATATAAAAATGTACGTAGATATTCTACGCTATATATTTGATCCAATTTCCAATTTAACAAATTATGTGTTTTCTTATACTTTGCAATTTATCGAAACATTGTCTTTATGCAGAAGATTTCATGCAAAAGAGTAATATTATTATATAATATAAAGTATAATAAAGCCTGGAAATTATGTAATATCAACGGAAAGGAAAATAATTATATGCTGAAATGTTCTTTCCTGTAAATCTTCGGAAACTGTACAGAAGATATGTTTGCTCCTGCGCGAAAATATCTTATCCGAATATATCGGCTATTATGCGCAAGCGCGATTGCGTGGTTAATTAATTGATTAATGTAAGGAAGATAAATCGTATTTTTTGCAGGTATATGCGATTATACATATACATATATGTATACATATATATGTCGTATACGTTGTTTTATTCATTATTGTTCCATTACTTTTATGGCTTTTTTATAATTGCGTATATGTGTTGCATTATATAATTATTATTATATACATTATATACATATACGCATTACGCTCTCTTAAACTTTATGTTAATCAATAAACTAAAGTGATATTACATAAGGGACATGTATAATCTTCAACCTTGTCATTTCAAATTGATGGAATAAAATGTATGCGGCGCATATCTGCACATATATATAATATGTGTAGATACAAGACATATGTATAAAAACGACCACTTTAATTGTCGAGATTTAATCATGTGATAATGTACTAAAATGTATCATGCACCGTCGTATTATCTATACATAACATATATGTATGTTACTTTTCGATTTTCTAATTGTTCTACTGCCAAAGCGTTTTCTTATTATACGGCAAACTGCGACATTATTACGTACATTGTAATAAGTAATCAACTTTCCTCCCTTTCTGCTTCTTAAACTTTTTCTGTAATCTTTTTCTATTCATTGAATACACAGCGTTCTTAGAAATAATTTTGTCGCGCGATAACATAATCATTAATAAATAAAGCGAAACGTTTCTTTAGTTTTAATTGTTAGACTTCAAATTATATATACACCATACCACACCATGATTTCATCATGCGAACGTAATATACATTGAAATATTATGAATATACGAAATCATGAATCTTCGCAGGTACCGCGCTTGTGTATACAATCGACAATTTAAAACAATTATATCTTATTATATATCTTGCATTTTTTACATTCATTTATACTATTTTATCGGCGATGTATAATGTGCGGGATTCTGATCTGTATAGATACATTTGCTTTTCATTCGGCACAAATATATTTGTCACGAATAGTAGTTGAACGAATCTCGGTATTTCGGATCGTGTACTAAAGGATCGATTGGAACGATTGCGATATTACTTTAAAAATAGCTTGTTTTTGGATGATTTAAACAATAAAATATTAATTTTTTAGAAAGACTTCTGAAAAAATTATCTATTTATTTAATAGTCCAAGTTGCTACATCAATGTGTCACAGAAGATATCATTTAAGCACGTAATATTTCGCTCAACTGCCCATCGAAGTGGAGGAAATTAGTTTTTCGTCGGTTGGTTCCATCAGTTCGTACTTCTCAGTGATTCCACCGAGGCTCTTTAATTCTCTAACCAAAGTTCGTACGTCGATTTTACGTGAAACTATTAATTTTCGTTGAGCCGTGGTACCATAGCTGCGCGATTTAAGGCCCATTATTCGCGCAATTCTGAAATAAATTAAAATATTTTTATGAAAAACTTCAATAAAACTTTCCGCAAATTCTCATATAACTTGAGTGATACATACTGATGAATCACCGATCTTTCCTCGTTGGTAAAATCTAAGAACACAATATCATTTTGCATATCGGTCT